AGATCCTAATGACTTGGTGCCCAGGGCGACCTTTAATTACGATATTTTTGTTCTCTTATACCTTAGTCATTAATGTAGAAAAACAAATTAGTTTATTTTTGTGGACCACAGCAGATTCATAAACTGTCTTCCAGTTTTTATATGTCTGAATCGTATTTCATTCTGATAACCTACACACACTTCATTCATTTTCCTGTGTATGCATCTGTGTGGCTCCTGAATTCGAGACCTCTGTGTGGAGGATTGGTCTTAAAATGGTTTAGTTTTATGGGCTCTTTGCTCCAAAAGATTTAACCACGCTGTTTTGTTTGCAATTCACTTTCAAGGAAAAAAAAAAAAAAAAACACACCTCACATTACTTTCTCAACAATTCACGTTGGTCAGAATCTCATTATTGGGAAGTGTTCTGGTATAGAGGATGAGGATCTTATCTTACAGGGGGTGGGATAAATCGTGGGGACATGCGTGAGTGAGGGGCTTGGGGAAGGCCCTCTGTGTCTGAGTGTTTCTGAACCCTGACTCCATGTCTAAGACCACCGCCCCGCTGCCTATCACTCTCAGCAAAATTCTTCTCTTTTAAGAAGCAAAACAAGAAGTCAGTCACTTGGAAGCATTTCATATAGAACATTTTATGCCGTTTTGGTTTTTTTTCCCCTCACTCCCTTCACCCTGCCCCCCACCCATTCCATCCAGGGACAGGAAACGGTCCTCGATGTCTGTTCTGAGCTGATGGGCCCACAACATAACCGCCCACTGAAACGTGCACGGAGTATCTGGGGATGACCTTCTGGATGGGGGCTTAGGACAGCCCAAATAAAACCAAATAAATTAAAACTGCAAGAAAACTCCAAGCAAAAGAAAGCTTAGAAACAAACAAACAGATAAAGTGAAGCCCATGGCAGGTGAGGTGAGCGAGGCCCCTCCATAACGGGACAGGGGAAGCAGGAGAGGACCCCGGCAGCGGGCTCCAGGGGTGGGGGGGGCGGCCAGGCCCTCTAGGGGACCGCAGGCCCGGGAGGGGCCCCTGGCGGGGGCAGCGCAACATGAATCAACATAAAGGATGGTGCAAAGGAAAAGAAGCATTGCAAATAAAAAAAGACATGTAACATGTGTGCCTACCATTTTCCAGATAAGAAGGGGCCGTACCTTCTGACGGGTCTAGGCGGCGGGCCCGCCGCCCGTGTTTGGAATTGTTGTGCACAAACATGTTGTCAGACACGGCCAGCACGTGGCCGTCCACGTTGACTGTTGTCGACACAACAACCTGCGAAGATGAAGCGGATGTGAAACGAGCTGGCGGAGGGACAGACAGCCACCCGCTGGGTGAGACAGAAGCCGCCGCCGGCCCCACGGTGCGCCCCGAGCCGCGCCCGTGTCCGCTCCCGCACGGCCTCCCGGGCCACCAGCACTCGCAGCTTTTTTGGTTAGTGGGGGTGGGCGGGCTGTTTTGCTTTGTTTTGACTCAAGATTGCTTCTCCTCAAAACCCGCTACACTAATTACAGTTTAATCTCCTATTATGCTAACAAGTGAATTCAATTCAGAGAAATATTCTTCTAGCCATTAGATTCAGAAACACCCCTCCAGCCGCTCATTTTAAAGCTGCTGTTTTGATTGATCTGTTCACATATTGATTACATAGTTTATCTAATTAAAATTAGTTCACTTGAGACTGTCCTCCCTTGAAGAGTTGTGAGGATTCAGGGTTGCCAAAAACAGGCTTCCTAAATCAGAAGGACTCCGGCTACCCAGCCCATCATCCGTGATCCCTGGGTCGATGTGAAAATTACATCTAATGTCTGGTAACGAACCTTCCTGAATCTGAAAAGACCGAGCTGAATATGAGTAGTGGCAGTGTTTTCAATCCAGAGCAAGCATCCTTTCTCAAGTTCACTGCGGAGACTGGCAAGGACCCTGGTGCCAACGCCCTGCCGACCCCGGGCGCCTGCCCAGGGAGCCCAGAAATGGCACCCTTTAATGGACTCGGGAAACGAGAATCACTACCCGGCCTTAAGGTTTTTCTTAAACAGAGGGGGGCCCATGCAGTCCATTATTTCCAGAAGAGCTGATATGAGTAGCAAAGACACGAGCCCTGGTTCCGTCTGGGTCTCACAGCAGGACTTGTGGCTGGGGCCAGCATCTGGGGTGCCGGGAGCCTGGCCTTGGCCACATGTGGGCAGTGGTGAGGGCCAGCACCACCTCGAGAAGCACAGCCCCACAGAGAAACATGCAGCTGGACAGGAGAGGAGGGGACCAGAAGGGTTCCCAGTCCACGTCTGCTCTCCCTGCCTGGTCTGCACATGTCCAAACACGCCCTGGAAAATGACCACTGAAAGCCAAAGCTACAGCGAACCTTGGTTAACAGAACACTGGTTCATCCCATGTAGCCAATGTACCTCGCCAATGTAGGACATTAACACCAGGGGCAACTGGGATGGAGGGGGTGCCCAGGGGGCACATGGGAATGCTCGGAACCTTCGTGGATTCTTCCCGAAAGCCTAAAACTGCTCTTTAAAAAACCAGTCTACTGGGACACCTGGGTGGCTCAGTCAGTTAAGCATCTGCCTTCGGATCAGGTCATGATCCCAGAGTCCTGGGATCGAGTCCCGCATCAGGCTCTTTCTTTCTCTCTCTCGCTCTCTAACAAATAAATAAATAAAACCTTTAAAAATAAAAAACAGTCTATTAGAGGGGCACCAGGTGACTCAGGAGTTAGGCATACGACTATTGATTTCGGCTAGGGTCATGATCTTGGGGTTGTGGGGTTGAGCATGGTGTCAGGCTCTGTGCTTACCAGGGATTCTACCTGAGATTCTCTCTCCCTCTGCCCCCCCCCAAAAAAAGTCTATTAGAAAAAAATAAAAGTGATCAAAAATAAAAAATAGCATTTTTAAGGGTTAAAAAGGTCAAAGCTGCATACACACACACACACATACACACATATATTTGAATACATGTGTAATTGACTTTTTCATAAAGAAAATCTCAGGCCCCACAGGAAGATTGTGAAGCAGGGGCCGTACCCACCACACACCCCAAAACTCCCTCCCAGGGGCAGCTTCCTTGATGCTTCTCTCCTGGGTGGGCCTCACCAAGACTACTGGAGTCTCACAGTATTGGGCCCCTCTGAGCCTCAAAACACTGTGGGTACCACCATCGGCATCCCCAGTCCAGCCTAGACACGTCATCCTCTTCTTGTCGACGGCCACCCACCCACAGGGCGGGCACGTGCAGTGCCCTGGCCACCTCTGCCCCCAGGACCCAGGGCTCGGGAGGACCTGCACCATCACCTGAGCGTGAGGCAAGGCCACAGAACGAATGCTGAGCCAGACTTGACCCTCTTCGAGTTCTCAGACCATGATATGTTAAAGAAGCAAGAAAGGTAAAAATAAAAATAAAAAAAGGACACTGTTTTGCTCTGTCATCTCCAAATAGGTCAGTCACCAAGGGAAAAGCGTGTGGCTCAGCAGAGGAAGCAGACAAGCTGTGTTTTGCTTCTTGGCCTGGGCCAGCCCTGCAGTGCACCTACAGGAAGGTGCTGAGTCTGTGAAGCCAGCTGGAAATACTGTGTACAAACTCTTCTGAGAGGCAGGAAGACGAGCTAAAGAGAGCAGAGCAAGTCCTTCTAGTAACTGTGGGCCCACTTGCAACTGAGGGTGTGTTGGCCAATGGCGAGTGAGTGTGCGCCCTTCCACTCTGCTCCGATGGGCAGATACCACTGTGAAGCCTGGTGCCAGAAAGTTGGAGGCAGGCCCAGCTGTTTACAAGAGACACTGTCCCCACCTGCAGAGCATGACTGTGGACCAGGCCACAGACCCTTCTCTGATTGGCTGGTTGGCTGTAAAGACAAATGTCACATGTCCTAAAGGACTGGAACGTAAGTTAAATTGCTAAAGATGACCTTGAGCGGTTTGAGGGTAAGTCATCCAATCTAGCATCATTCCCACTAGCTGCCAGATTCCTCTCTGGTTGGTAGGGACTAGCAGCAGTTCTGTGTCCCGGCCTAGAATATTTTCACAATTAAAATCAGCAAAATAATCCACTGTGCGGGGAGTACCTCTCACCCTGAAGCAACCTCCTAATCATTCACAAAGGCAAGAAAATTATGCACTCAGTGATGACCGATCCAGGTCTACCTTCTCTCCTTGAGATGAGATCCTCTGAAGCAAACCAGAATATGAGTTAGCCTGCCTCCAGCAACATGGCCTAGCAATTAGGCAAGGGTGTAAGGAAGCAAGAATACATCAACCCTGAGGGAAAGGAAGCTGAGCTGGGGGAACATTCTGGAACATGTAGAGGCCCGCATCAAACAGTGCAGCTCCCTTCATGAGGGGGGCCCAAGGTCTTGTGCTTACCCAACAGGCTGCACTATGGCTCTGCCCCATGAAAAATCCACCCATCGATCCCTAAGAGAAGACCTTTGGGCATGGGCTCCAAGTTCTCATCAGTTGTGCATGGCCACGTACGGCTGAGGAAACAGGCTACCTTATGTACTAACGTATTTGAAGAGATTCTGAAACAGTCATTCTGAAACACACCTACAAGACTCACCATGGCTGAACGTCAGGGGGAACCCGTCTTAACCTGCAGCCGTGAGAACTCTGACTTCCAGATACCTGGCAGCCCAACGCGGAGGCCGGGCGTGGCGCGACCACTTTAAGAGGTGCACCTTATAAGCCAAGGTCACGTTTTCAGAGCAAACCCCAGTGTGCACAGACTCGATTAATCTGGCGTACTGAAGAGCCCGAATCATTTTTAAGGCAAAGTGATTTAAATATTTTATCAAATGGACCGATTCGGGTTTGCTCCCAAGCCCTTGGAGAACTAAAGACTGTTTTCTGAACAATCGAAACATCAGAGAATTCAAATTGCATGTTAAAAGTCCGGACCGTGGCCCGCGTGTCTTTGAGAGATGTGTACCTGGAATCTCCGCATATCTCGAGGGTTGCCTGCATTCTTCAAACAGTTCTGATTGCACTTGAGGAAAAACTTTAGAAAGAATCTATAAAAATACAAAAAACGGATATGTGTTAGGGTCATGAGACAAACTCACAAACTTTTAGAAAGACACTGTTGCGTGGGGAGTGGTGGAGGTTACCCGCCACCGCGCGCTCGCCGCCTGTAGGGGGCGGTACTGGGTCTGACCGCCAGCCCTGATGTCCACAAACTTACGTCTGTCTTGACAGTATGGGTCTCCAAGCTTTAGGACAGCATCTGCGACTTGGACTGGCCATTCCCTGCCTGGATCTTCGCACGGTAGCCACTGGGGGACTGTCCAGCCCAGACGGGGCTGCCAGTTTTGGCAAATAAGAACACAGGATGCCTAGTGACATTTGGGCTCCGGGTAGATGACAAATAATTTCTTAGGATAGGTATGTCCCAAAGCATCCCCATCCTAAAAAACTGTTGTTTACCCATAACTCAACTGTAACTGGACATGCTCAACTTTATCTGGCAGCCAAGCCGCCTAGGTAAACGGACTTCCCAAGATGAATTTTTAAAAGTTACGGTGGTTGCAACTCTTAAGAGAGGATTTGGGGGTGTGCTTTAAGGACTGCAATGACTTCTGTGAAGGGTCTACATGTGTTTTTGAGGAAATAATTGGTAATTCCAAGCCGGCACTGAAGGAGCCCCTCAGGTGGAAAGCAGGAGAAGCAACCCCCAGCCCGGGCTCCGGGCGAGAGCGTTTCTACTTCCCGCCAAGCCCCGCCCTTGTGCCTTGAGGCGTGAAGATTCAGGGGTCCTGACAGTGTGTTGAGATGCTGTGACAAAAACCTCATCACACTGTCCCCTCCGTGCCCGTGTGCTCGGTGACAAGGACAGGAGCTCTGGCTCCCAGCGTGCGCGCATGGGCTGGAGCGCCCGGCATGGGGGCCGCGGGGGTCTGGTTCCTGCGCCCCTCTGCCTCGTCCTGATGAGGCGAGGCCACCGTGGGCCGCGCCGGGGGGCAGGGAGGGGGTCTCTGGCCGAAATACACGCCCTCTTCCGGCGTCTGAGCGTCCTGTCCGGCAAGGCTACCAACAAAACTCCTCTCTTTTCTGTCCAAATGTCACCTGTCCTACTTGGGATTATTCAATTTTCATGAAGTTTCACATGATTTCCTTGAACTCGACCTTACAGTCAAGGTTCCTTGTTGACAATGATCATATCAGAAAACAAAAAAGACTGCACAGACGAAGATTCATTTCTCTAACCGCATTCCCGGACGACTTTTCACCGCAGCCGAGGAAAACCCAATTGATGGGAAAAAGAAGAGTGGCCACTTCATTAAATTTTCTCACATACCGCCAGGCCTCACTATTTTAGGCCAGAATTTACATCTTTTATTAACTCACCTCACCTCTACACTTAGCTCCCGGTGCCTCTCAGCACCATCTGCCACTAGCATACAGTAAGTCACTGATATTCCACCCACCAATTTTTCCTAACAACCACTGTGCAATTAAACTCCACGCGCTCTGCAGAGGTAAATTAGACGCACCTGCGGCCACACTGCATTTGAACTGCATCAGGAAGGCCCTAACAAGGTGAGGGCGTCACAAAGTGATCGTCCTGTCAGGCAATTAGGTTTTCACTTCGGGGACAGCCACATGGTGCGATTATGCCACATATTACCACCCGGCTAATCTTCTGAGCAGGCGCCGGCCCGAGCAGCTCTCCTCTGTACGGAGCCGTCTGCGGGAGCTTTTTGTCATGGGAGGCATTTTTTTTTTTTTTTTTTCCCTCCCCCCGCCCCTCTCCAGAGAAGGTTTTTTTAAATTCCTTGATGTCTTCTTAGGCGGTTCACCTTTTGCCTCTAAGACAGCAGAGCGTATGTTGACCAACCAGTGCCATGATGGGGGAGCGGGGCCTGGCGCTCTCTCGGGCCTCCGCGACCTCCGGCCGCGGGCGGAACTCGGCAGCACAAAGCTGGGCGCCCGCCGGGCCCCCCGAACCTCAGCATTCTTGGGGCCTGGCTCCCCGGCGCAGGTACACACGCTGATTTGGGAGGTGGCGCCAGTAGTTTTTGCTTTGATGCCGAGTGTCTCGTGAGCCGGGGACACGCGCAGCACCGGAGGGCAGGACCCCCTTCACGCGCTCAGGTCCCAGTTACACAGACACGCTACGGTACAGCATCGGGGGCCGGAGACAGGAAGCTCCGGCCAGGACGAAGAGGAGCCTTGTGCTTACTTTTCTGCCTTGCTTGGCTCGTGTTTAAGCGAAGGAGTCCGTCAGTCCTCATCCTAAGGTGGATGGCACAAGACAGCCCATGCGTGGCTCTCCAAGCCGGGCCGTGCCAACGTTTGGGGAGCGTGAGGACGCCGGGTGCCCTACTACACGTGAAGTCAAATGATAATTCTCATCCTTTTACTCAATTACCCTGTAATTGGCTTTTTTCCTAAGAAATATCTGACAACCACTTTACATATCTCACTTCCAGAGTCTGGTACACACAAAGGATTTAATACTCTTGTTATGAAAGGAAAAATCTTTCCTATGTCAGAAAATCTTTGGCTTTAACACCAATAAACTCTTTATTACTGCTAAACATGGATTTGCTGCTCGATGGCAAAGAGGCGATAAAAATTCGAACCTGTCATTAGTACATTATGCTTAATTGTGTACAGTGTGCTTTCCACTGCATCTGTTGGCCCATCATCAAAATGACCATTATGTACACTAATTCCCTGACCCTGTCTTTATTTCCCTAAAGAGCCATCAGCTTTCACAGTAGGTACCAGAGTAAATCAAGCTTGAAATATGGGCTTTATTTACTTGTTTCTCTCAGGCAGGAGGGAAGGCAGCTGCCCAGGGCAAACTGCTGCACATTCACTGAAACTCCCCAGTAATATTCTGCTCGGAGACCGCGCACAATCCTGGGAAGTTCTCAGTAGCGATTAGAAGGGGGAGAGGTAGGATCTCATTACTTCGGAAACCAGGTTTCGGCCTGGAGCCCGTGCAGGGATTCACAGAGGAGGCCACAGGCGCGACCCCCAGCGCTCACACACGCGCGCAGGTTCTGGGGGCGCCCCCGCCTCCCTCGCACCAGCACCTGGGAAGGTGGGCACAGGGCCGCGGCCTAGGGAGAGCCGCTGGCTCCAGCCACGGAACCTGCCGTCTGCACTGCAGATCCCCCGGGGCAGGCCCTCACGTGTGCGGGGACCCCGACCCGGCAGAGCCCGGCCACGGCCGCACCCGTCAAGCCAGGTTAGGCTCGGTCTTGGCTGCATCCATACCAGCATCCTCCCAGACGGCCGCGGCGCCCACGGAAGCACGGGGCGGCGGACGAGGACACCATGAGCGGGGCCACCGTGAGAAACGGGACCAACCGTTTTGACGGGAGCCCACCCTCAGCATCCCCCCTCCCCCAATAGGGGGCAAGCCCCCACCGCAGTAACTCATTTCAGAGTCTGCTCCACTTCTGTGTGTTTAAGCTATGAATTAGTTCATTTATATTTACTTTTATGAAGCTGATTAACCAGAGCTTCTCTATCTGATGAAAATCATTTTAATTGTAGTGTTAGGCTCCTGTGTAATATCCATTACATTATGAACTGTTTAAATTCTACATGGGCATTGTATAAATTGGCCCTTTGTGTGCGCGTAGGCAATTAGGACAAACAGCTCTCCTTTAAACGGCTGCACAACTTTGTGGTGGTGTTCAGGACAATCAGAAACAAAGGAGGCTGCTTAATTGTAATTTAATGGAATATCAAGGAGTCCGTGGCATTAGATGCTGGCAACAGAGAGCAGGAGAGAAAAATTAACTGCAATTATGTTTGATTAAAGCTATCCTTCTCAATAATCAGCGGTCCTGACAGGCCATGGGGCTCTCGTGGGTTCCAGGATGGCAAAAGGTGTTGAGCAATATTAGGGCCAATAAAGGGGATATTAGCATAGCTAATTACAGCCCTGCAAAACCTGTAAAGGGGGCCTCTGTGTATTGTAATGTGTGAAATAATTGGACAAGGCCGTTATCAATTACATAAGGAATGAATTTGGTTTGTCAGAGAAAAGCTGATGAGATGCATTTCATCTGACACCATTCCCTTCCCTCATGTTTCCATAGCTAAGAACTCGCCCACTTGTATCAAAAGCTGCAACTTACCAGTGGCCAAATCACTGATAAAATTATCTTGCCAGCAAGTGTTAGGTAATTAATACCACTCATCCTCACCGCCTTCCCTGCACTGCTGCTTCTCACCTAGCTGAAGCCACTAATCATGTAATAATGATTTTTTTCCCTCTGGTCAAAGGAGAAATAGATTGTCTCCTTAGAAATGCAGTGGGCTTGGCGTGCGCACCCTGGTGATTGAGGAGAAAAAAGGAACTTTGAGCAGTTTTAATTGCTTGCCTTTTGCACGTGGGTATCACTTGTTTGAAATTACCTCCTCTCAGCATTTCGGGAATCCTATATGCAGGGATTTTTTTTTTTTTTTAATTTTTAATCACCAAGTCTTAGACTCTTCCAGAGCTTGGTCTCACCAGTGCTTGAAAACGTGAGTGACAGCATGCTGCAAGGTGTGAGCCCGACAGGCCGTCCGAGGAGTCCTCAGGCCCCCACCTGAGCACGGGCTCAGAGCAAACAGTTCTGGCTTGCCGCAGACCCCTCCCACGTCTCAATTCCAGCCTCTGTCCCCTCTTCTGGCCCTCACCTGTGGGCAATATGGGAAATTTGAGTCAAGAATGAAAAATATTGATATCATTTTTCGGTGGGGGAGGGGGGTAAGGGGGTGCTGCTCGCCTTTCCATTTTAAGGCTGAGCTCTTAATAAGCAACAAATGAAGACGGCCATGGATAGACCTCCATGTCATCAATCAGAAAACCCAAAGCATCCGAGTGTGAATCATGGCGCTGACAGCTTCCAGAGGTTACCAGTGAACCCCATTCCAGACCAAACCCCACCACGCTTGCAGTTCCTGAATCCAGAACGCAAAACCAGAAGGCTATTTGCATAACACTGCCTTGACAAGAAAGAGTATGGGATACCAACCAGAAAATGCAGCTGTCGAAGTCCCCACC